GTAAACATGCAGGTGTCGGGAGTATAGTGTAAGCATGCAGGTGTCAGGGGTATAGTGTAGGCATGCAGGTGTCAGGGGTATAGTGTAGGCATGCAGGTGTAGAGCGTATAGTGTAGGCATGCGGGTGTCGGGTATAGTGTAAGCATGCGGGTGTCGGGTATAGTGTAGGCATGTAGGTGTAGAGGGTATAGTGTAGGCATGCAGGTGTCGGGTATAGTGTAAGCATGCAGGTGTCGGGTATAGTGTAGGCACGCAGGTGTCAGGGGTATAGTGTAGGCATGCAGGTGTCAGGGGTATAGTGTAGGCATGCAGGTGTAGAGGGCATAGTGAAGGCATACCGGTGTCAGGGGTATTGTGCAGGCACGCAGGTGTCAGGGTATAGTGTAGGCACGCAGGTGTCGGGGTATAGTGTAGGCATGCAGGTGTCAGGGGTATAGTGTAGGCATGCAGGTGTCAGGGGTATAGTGTAGGCATACAGGTGTCAGGGGTATAGTGTAGGCATGCAGGTGTCAGGGGTATAGTGTAGGCATGCAGGTGTCAGGGGTATAGTGTAGGCACGCAGGTGTCAGGGGTATAATGTAGGCACGCAGGTGTCATGGGTATAGTGTAAGCATGCAGGTGTCTGGTATAGTGTAAGCATGCAGGTGTCAGGGGTATAGTGTAAGCATGCAGGTGTCAGGGGTATAGTGTAAGCATGCAGGTGTCAGGGGTATAGTGTAAGCCTGCAGGCGTCAGGGGTATAGTGTAAACATGCGGGTGTCAGGGGTATAGTGTAAACATGCGGGTGTCAGGGGTATAGTGTAAGCATGCGGGTGTCAGGGGTATAGTGTAAGCATGCGGGTGTCAGGGGTATAGTGTAAGCATGCAGGTGTCAGGGGTATAGTGTAAGCATACAGGTGCCAGGGGTATAGTGTAAGCATGCAGGAGTCAGGGGCATAGTGTAAGCATGCAGGTGTCAGGGGTATAGTGTAAGCTTGCAGATGTCAGGGGCATAGTGTAAGCATGCAGTTGTCAGGGGTATAATGTAAGCATGCAGTTGTCAGGGGTATAGTGTAAGCTTGCAGGTGTCAGGGGCATAGTGTAAGCTTGCAGGTGTCAGGGGCATAGTGTAAGCTTGCAGGTGTCAGGGGCATAGTGTAAGTATGCAGGTGTCAGGGGCATAGTGTAAGCATGCAGGTGTCAGGAGTATAGTGTAAGCATGCAGGTGTCGGGGGTATAGTACTCACCTGTCAGGGACCTAGTGTAAGCTTGCAGGTGTCAGGGGTATAGTGTAAGCTTGCAGGTGTCAGGGACATAGTGTAAGCATGCAGGTGTCAGGGACATAGTGTAAGCATGCAGGCATTTGAGGTGCTCTGTCATGACGAGGGAGAGCAGCAGAAAGTCGTAACGAGCAGTGCCTAAGAAAAACTGGACGTGCAGTGACATAGCAGATCAGGTTTTCAATGAAAGGAAGTTTTTAAGCAGGAAGTGTTGCAGTGCTTTGATGAACCTCGGAAGCTGTGTAGTGAGAGTACACGTAGTGAGCTCACACTAGCTGCACCAGCTTAGTTACGCCTGCAACATTGGCTATTCCTTTTGTCTCTCCTCCTCGACCCTCGTCGACAGGCTCTACTCATTCCTGGCGCTTCCACGGTCCCATCGTCATTTACACAACCTGGTCAGGGACCGGGCGCCGGGGTGAGTGACCCCTCCCCCAGAAATCGTCTCCAGGTAGACCCTAAAACTGAAAAAGTACCTTGTACTTGGCCTCTCCCTATCCAGTCTATTACCTTGAGTATTTTGTATTATATAATCATGTTCTCCTTTCCTGGTCTTCTTCTCGCAGTTCATGTAGTAAGTAGTTTTGCACATGCTGCTGATGTTGCGATTTCTATTTACTACTGGTGATATGCTTGTAGAAATGCTTACTCCCAGATCTTTCTCCTTGCACACAGTCTGCAGCGTGTTTCCTGAAAGGTTGTATTTTATGTCCAGTCTTCTTGCTCGCTTAGTTTTTTATTGGCTTCTAATTTTTAGGGTTGAATTTAAGTGGCTATTTTACATTTTTTGCAATTTGCTAAAATCTCCTTTGTGTGTGTCCCTGTTTTTAATCAGTAAACATTGGTATGCATGTATCAGGAACAGTAGGAGTTCAAGAACATGTTATTAAGGCACCCCACTCGCAACCCGTACTTTCACTGACACCACCTTTCTTATTACCCTCTTGCCTTATATCCGCTAATAATCCTGTTTATACTTGAATACCTTCCCTTCCACCTATGCCTGCTATTCCTGTTTGTGCAGAAGCTTACTGTGAGTGTCAAATGCGTTGACACAATCGACGACAACGAAGTCAATCGAATATTTTCTCTTGTGATGTATTTCCGTCACTGTCATAAAACTTCGATTAGCGAGGCAGGATTTACATCCTTAAATTCTCACTGGTTGCTTTATATGTATCCACTTCTCTTTTAAGGTGCACACTTATTCTCTCTATCTTTTCTAGCACCTTAACCAACATGCTAGTCTGAGGGACTGGTCTATAGTTTAGTTCGTTTCTCTCTCTCTCTCTCTCTCTCTCCCCCTTTTATATTGATTACGTGGTGCGGTGGTGGTGCTAGAGGTGATTGTAGTAGTGCTGCCTATAGTAATTATAGTGATGCTACTCTTAGTGTTGTTTTAATGGTACTGCTAGTGATGTAGTGCTGCTACTAGTAGTGGTAATAATACTAGTGGTGCTGGAGGTTTGGATGAAGAAAAGTTGTAATTTTTGCCTGGTGGAGCCTCCCCAAGAGCCTCCCTCCCCCCCCGTCCTGAAGACAGTCTCTGCAAGTTTCAAGTGTGACTCTCAAGTCTAGAAGCCACGTCCAGGGGTGCTGCACCGCCTGCTCGCCCAGCCTGCATGATGCACCTTGCACCAGTCACTATCCACAACCTCACTCTGAATATGATCTCCTAACCTACAAATGTTATTTATAAACCTGTAAAAGCTTAATTACTTAAATGAAAGTCATGACTCGTCTTACAACGCATGAAGACAGGCACATGGATAGGGAGCTCTGAGAATAAATTTTATCTTCAGTGGTGTAGGCAATATGACCTTCCACCAGTGTGTGGGGTAACGCAGTGGCTAGGCACCACCTTGAAGCGTTCAGATATTCACGAGCATCACTGCAGGTACCAGAATGAGTTGCACTTGCTAAGCCTCAGATGCTCTATATTGCCACGTTAGTTTTTTTTCACGTGTCTTGGGTGGAGTGCCGCCGCCAACCATTGATAACCAGGCATAAAACACTTATCCACCAGTCACACCATTGTCAACTACACCTCATAACTGTAATAATACTAATTACATACTAACGTCTAAGTACAAAATGTTAACAAATTATGAACAAAGGTTAAGAGTAATTGAAATTTTTTTTCTTTGGGTGATCATTCAGCTCAAAGAAAGACTGAGGCTAGATCCTGTGTCCACTAATAGAGGGAAATTCTTTTGTCGGGTTAGGTTTCTCTAGTACGAGGAAGGTGTCTACTGTCTTAGAAATAACTAAGTTCTTGTTGTCAGTCTTCACTATTTAATCTCTTAAATACTTGATACACTGTTATGGTCTTTGAAGGTGAGATCTTCTGACATGATCACTTACAGGTCTTTTACAAGCACAGCACAGGTAGATCACAAGCACAGCACAGGTAGATCACAAGCACAGCACAGGTAGATCACAAGCACATCACGGGTAGATCACAAGCACAGCACGGGTAGATCACAAGTACATCACGGGTAGATCACAAGCACAGCACGGGTAGATCACAAGTACATCACGGGTAGATCACAAGTACATCACGGGTAGATCACAAGCACAGCACAGGTAGATCACAAGCACAGCACGGGTAGATCACAAGCACAGCACGGGTAGATCACAATCACAGCACGGGTAGATCACAAGCACAGAATGGGTAGATCACAAGCACAGCACGGGTAGATCACAAGCACAGCACGGGTAGATCACAAGCACAGCACGGGTAGATCACAAGCACAGCACGGGTAGATCACAAGCACAGAATGGGTAGATCACAAGCACAGCACGGGTAGATCACAAGCACAGCACGGGTAGATCACAAGCACAGCACGGGTAGATCACAATCACAGCACGGGTAGATCACAAGCACGGGTAGATCACAAGCACAGCACGGGTAGATCACAAGCACAGCACGGGTAGATCACAAGCACAGCACGGGTAGATCACAAGCACAGCACGGGTAGATCACAAGCACAGCACGGGTAGATCACAAGCACAGCACGGGTAGATCACAAGCACAGCACGGGTAGATCACAAGCACAGCACGGGTAGATCACAAGCACAGCACGGGCAGATCACAATCACAGCACGGGAGATCACAATCACGCACGGGCAGATCACATGCACGGGCAGATCACAATCACAGCACGGGTAGATCACAATCACAGCACGGGTAGATCACAATCACAGCACGGGTAGATCACAAGCACAGCACGGGTAGATCACAAGCACAGCACGGGTAGATCACAAGCACAGCACGGGTAGATCACAAGCACAGCACGGGTAGATCACAATCACAGCACGGGTAGATCACAAGCATAGTACAGGTAGATAAGTACAGCACAGCACGGGCAGATCACAAGGACAGCACAGGTAGATAAGCACAGCACAGGTAGATCACAGGTATATCACTGTTACAGGTATATCACGGATATATCACTGCCACAGGTATATTACAGGTTATCACTGGTACAGGCACATCTCTGGCACAGGTATGTCACAGGCATATCACTGGAACAGGTATGTCACAGGTATATCTCTGGCACAGGTATGTCACAGGTATATCTCTGGCACAGGTATGTCACAGGTATATCACTGGCACAAATGTCACAGGTATATCACTGGCACAAATATGTCACAGGTATATCACTGGCACTGGTTATCACTACTTTTTATTCATTTTCATCGTTAAATTTGATAAGCTCTGCAATATCATTATTTCAGAGTCGCTGGTGTCCCAGGAGTTGGCTCAACCTACATTGGACCAGCAGCAGGCTATGCGTGTGGCTTCGGAGCTGGAGGCCAATTGGGACGTGTTAGTGCTGCACTACGTGGGTCTGGTGGCCCTGGTGTCCCTAGGCTGTCTCCTCATCGTCGTCCTGCCTCTCGCGGGCCTCGTCTTCGCTTGCTGCCGCTGTGCAGGACGCTGCGGCGCGCAGGAGCCTCATTATGACAAGAAGAGAGACCCGTGTAAGAGGGCCACACTAGGCACTCTCCTGGCTGTGCTAGTAGTAGTCATCCTGTAAGTACACTCCCTCTTTCTGTTATGTACCTTATCTTTGATTTCACTGTCTTTGACTTCACTGTCTTTGACTTCATTATCTCTGACTTTGCTGCATCTTCACTCCCTGCTCCTGCAAACATACAATGAGTTACTTGGGGATTATCGTGGCATGTATGTTTGAACCTCCTCTGTCACCAGGAATCTTGCCACTGAGACGACACTCGGTAGAGTGAGGTCAGGTTACAGACCTGATTAATAGCCACCTGCATTCAAGTGCTCCTGTTCCTCTCTGTGCAGCTTGAGATATAAAGCTGACTGTGGAACATATAACTGTTTTACTTGAGTCTCTAATTACCTGGGCGCCCATGGGGAGCTCGGGGAAATTTTTAAGTCTTTGAACATGGAGATTTTTCTTAACTGATGCTGCTTATTTAAACTGTGACAGTGCTTGTGTTGTATGTCTTGTTCGTGGTAACTTTTATTTTGTTACTTTTATCTTGTTGTTGTTGTGTGTGCTGTAATTATTATTTTTAAAATGCGAGAAAATTATGCATTTTGTACAATCTCACTATTTTAATTTCAGTTAGTCATCATACAGAAACAGTTACAACACTTTTGTAAAAGTCCATTTTGTGTTTATGAAAGAAGTACTACCACATAAAACCATGATTTTTTCTTTTGGCTGATCTTTAGGAAACTAACTTATAGGGTATGACACTAGGGTCATGCTGACTATTCAGTAAATTTTTCAGAAGATTTAGAAAGTTATTAAGTAAGTTGATGTCAGTGTGTCCCTTGAATCAATACTGGAATACTTAACGATGCCATCATTGCCCTTCTGAATTCAGTCTCCGAGGTCACTGACAGATTTTTTCACTTTAACCCATCCTGTGATGGAATATGACAAGGAAACAAGGCTAGAGTTAGTTCTTACTATATAACTATCATATAGTAAGGGGTAGCAGCACGTTACTCGTGTATCCAAATTTGTTAAATAAAATAAAACTAGTAGTGGCGGACGCGTGTGAAATATGCTGTGTTCACAGCTAAATACTGACAGTTACTGAGCAGTGATATTTTTTAGTGCCAGGAAACGAGAGAAGTATCGCAAGAAATTATAAAAATACACCACTACCTTGGAGTCATGGTAGACTGGAAACTAAACCAGTGACTGGCTCGTCACAACTACGTATATAGAGACCATCCAGAAAAGCCCCCAACACAACGTTGAATAATATAACATTCTGCAAACATTCAAGGTCTTACAACAAGTAGCAACAAAATACCGTTTATTAGTGGACTCGTCACTTAATCAGATGAATTGTTTAAAGTTTTCCACAAGATGCACATGGAAGATTACTTTGACAGTGAAGCATGGAAGCCAGGGTACAGTCTGCTCAGATGCTGTAGCAAATGCAAGGGAAGGTTGATCCTGTACGTTAAAGTTCCTCATTTATACTGAGTTACTTAACATCACAAATGATGAAGTTGAAGTTTTGGCAGTAAAAACAAGAAAAAAAAGAAAATCAGACTTATTGTACTTGTTTATAAACCACCAGATACAACTTCCCAGCAGTTCAAAAACCAGCTATTGAAAATAGAATACTGTCTTGAAAATCTTATAATCCCGGCCCCAAATATCTTGTTGCTTGATGACTTCAGTTCATGACATCCAGACTGGATGCAGCACAGACTGTAATAAGAGGAAGATCCCAGCAGTTTGTTCAGATGAACAGTTTCACACAGTCGATGAAAATCACCTTAAATCAAGCAAATAGCAGTACTGACCAGCCTAGGAAGTATCCTTGATCTTAGTCACAATGAGGATCTACTATAGAACATAATGGTGGAAAAAACAACTAATTCAGACCACAATCTAATCGTTATTCAACTTTAACTGGTCTTCAGCACTAAATATAACTAGTCTCGATGGTAGCAGGTTGGTAGACAGCAACCACCCAGGGAGGTACTACCGTCCTGCCAGGTGACTGTGAAACATAAACCTGTAACTGTTTTACATGATGGTAGGATTACTGGTGTCTTCTTTCTGTCTCATAAACACGCTGGATAACAAGTACATCTTGCTACTTCAACTTACACTTTGGTTACACTACACAGGCATGCACATGCATATATATACATACACACATCTAGGTTTTTCTTCTTTTTCTTAATAGCTCTTGTACTTGTTTTTTTCCTCGATTGTCCATGGGGAAGTGGAAAAGAATCTTTCCTCCGTAAGCCATGCGTGTCGTATGAGGCGACTAAAATGCCGGGAACAATGGGCTAGTAACTCCTTCTCCTGTAAACATTTACTAAAAATGAGAAGAAAAACTTTATAAAACTGGGATGCTTAAATGTGCGTGGATGTAGTGCGGATGACAAGAAACAGATGATTGCTGATGTTATGAATGAAAAGAAGTTGGATGTCCTGGCCCTAAGTGAAACAAAGCTGAAAGGGGTAGGCGAGTTTCAGTGGGGAGAAATAAATGGGATTAAGCCAGGAGTATGAGAGAAATAGAGCCAAGGAAGGGGTAGCAGTAGTGGGAAAATTTATGGAATCAATAACTGCGGAAGCAATTCGTAGCCATCTTGACAGGCACAGTTTGATTAATGAATCTCAACACGGTTTTACAAAGGGGCGTTCCTGTCTTACAAATTTACTAATTTTTTTCACTAAGGTGTTTGAAGAGGTAGATCATGGTAATGAATATGATAGTGTATATGGACTTCAGTAAGGCTTTCGATAGAGTTCCACACCAGAGGCTATTGAGGAAACTTAGGGCACACGGAATAGGAGGAGAAAATTTTTCCTGGGTAGAGGCATGGTTGACAAATAGACAGCCGAGAGTTTGCGTAAATATGGAGAAATCAGAATGGGGGCACGTCACAAGCGGTGTTCCTCAGGGGTCAGTGTTGGGCCCGTTGTTGTTCACAATTTACATAAACGACATACCTGGAGTTTACCTGGAGAGAGTTCCGGGGGTCAACGCCCCCGCGGCCCGGTCTGTGACCAGGCCTCCTGGTGGATCAGAGCCTGATCAACCAGGCTGTTGCTGCTGGCTGCACGCAAACCAACGTACGAGCCACAGCCCGGCTGATCAGGAACTGAGGGAATAAATAGCGACATCAAATTTGCTGATGACACCAAAATAGGCCAATTCATTCTAATGAGGACATTAGAGCACTCCAGGATGATTTGAATAGACTGACGCAATCGTCGGAGAAGTGGCAGATGCAGTTTAATATTGACAAATGCAAAGTTCTAAATGTTGGACAGTTAAATAACCATGCCACATATAAACTAAATAATGTAGACCTTAATACTACTGATTGCAAAAAGGATTTAGGAGTTCGGGTTAGCAGTAACCTAAAACCAAGACAACAGCGCATTAGTGTTCGCAGTAAAGCTAACAGAATTCTTGGCTTCATATCTAGAAGTATAAATAATAGAAGCCCTCAGGTTGTTCTGCAACTCTATATATCCTTGGTTAGGCCTCATTTAGACTATGCTGCTCAGTTCTGGTCACCGTATTACAGAATGGATATAAATGCTCTGGAAAACGTACAAAGGAGGATGACAAAGATGATCCCATGTATCAGAAATCTTCTCTATGAGGATAGACTGAGGGCCCTGAATCTGCACTCTCTCGAAAGGCGTAGAATTAGGGGGTATATGATCGAAGTATATAAATGGAAAACAGGAATAAATTAAGGGGATGTAAATAGCGTGCTGAAAATTTCCAGCCATGACAGGACTCGCAGCAGTGGTTTAAAGTTGGAAAAATTCAGATTCAGGAAGGATATAGGAAAGCACTGGTTTGGTAATAGAGTTGTGGATGAGTGGAACAAATTCCCGAGTACAGTTATTGAGGCTAAAACGTTGTGTAGTTTTAAAAATAGGTTAGATGAATGCATGAGTGGGTGCGGGTGGGTGTGAGTTGACCTGACTAGCTTGTGCTGCTGGGTCTGGTGCAGTGTTCCATCCTTGAGTGGAAATGGCCAGGCTGGATGGGTCATTGGGATAATCCTGGGGGGTGGGTCATTGGTCTAATCCGAGGGGAAACATGGACCTGCTCCGCTTGGATCAGTAGGCCTGTTGCATTGTTCCTTCTTTCTTATGTTATGGAAGGAGAAGAGGGAATATAAATGTGTAAATTCAAGGATTATATGGATTAAAATAAGGGTCGGATGTGAAAAGTGGGTCATAATAAGCTTGTATGCACCTGGAGAAGAGATTGAGAGAGAGATTGAGAGAGAGATTGAGAGAGAGATTGAGAGAGAGATTGAGAGAGAGAGATTGAGAGAGAGAGATTGAGAGAGAGAGATTGAGAGAGAGAGATTGAGAGAGAGATATTGAGATTTTGGGAGATGTTAAGCGAATGTATAGGAACATTTGAACCAAGTGAGAGAGTAATTGTGGTAGGGGACCTAAACGCTAGAGGAGGAGAAACCTTTAGAGAGGATGTGATAGGGAAGTTTGGGGTGCCAGGTGTAAATGATAATGGGAGCCCTTTGATCTTTATATAGAAAGGGGTTTAGTTATAGGTAATACGTATTTTAAGAAAAAGAGGATAAATAAGTATACAAGATATAATGTAGGGTGTAATGACGGTAGGTTGTTGGACTATGTATTGGTAGGTAAAAGACTGTTGAGTAGACTTCAGGATGTACATGTTTATAGAGGGGCCACAGATATATCAGATCACTTTTTAGTTGTAGCTACACTGAGAGTAAAAGGTAGATGGGATACAAGGAGAATAGAAGCATCAGGGAAGAGAGAGGTGAAGGTTTATAAACTAAAAGAGGAGGCAGTTAGGATAAGATATAAACAACTATTGGAGGATATTTGGGCTAGTGAGAGTATAGGCAATGGGCTCGAAGATGTATAGGGTAGGTTTAAGAATGTAGTGTTAGTGTTCAGCAGCAGTTTGTGGTTACAGGAAAGTGGATGCGAGAGGGAAGAAGAGCGATTGGTGGAATGATGTAAAGAGAGTAGTAAGAGAGGAAAAAGTTAG